GATTCGGACTTCGCAAATGACCTGGTTCTTCTATCCCACACACACACACACACATACCAACAAATGCAGGTGAATATAGTCAGTGTGGCAACAGTCTCTGCATCATTAGGCCTTGACATACACAAGGGAAAAATCAAGATCGCCAAATACAACACGGAGAATACCAACCCAATCACACTTCATGGAGAGACTCTGCAAGAGGTGGAAGCTTTCGCTTATCTGGGCAGTATCGTCGATAAACAAGGAGGATCTGATGCGGACGTAAAGGTAAGGATTGGCAAAGCAAGGACAGCATTCCTACAGATGAGGGACATATGGGAATCAAAACAACTGTCAACCAATATCAAAATGAGAATCTTTAATACGAACGTCAAGACAATTCTACTATATGCAGCTGAAACATGGAGAACTACTACAACCATCAATATAAAAAGGGAACATGTATTCACTCAATATTCAATATCTTTTGACCGGATACCATCAGATGAAGAGGAAATTAGTAAAAGATGCTGAAGGTGGATAGGACATACATTGTGGAAGTCATCAAACTGCATTACGAGGCAGGCTCTGACTTGGAATTCCGAAGGGAAACGGAAAAAAGGAATTTTGAGCAACACTGTGCCGGGAATGAGACAGACATCAAAGTGATGATCAGCAACTGGAAAGAATTGTCCTCAAATGCCCGATGTCGTGGAAACTTTGGTCTGACCTTCGTCAGTCGGTTAGGTCCTCATGTTTAATAATAATCTTCAATGTGTTGTGAGGTTCCTAAACATCACTAGTAAGCAGACTAGATGTGACGTACCTGTTGAATTCACGTAGTAGTGCTTTCTTTACTGTGAGGAATTGTGTACATGACCCTGTAACGCCGTGTCATGGAAATCGGCTTCTACGTGGAAGCAATAGTAGCAGTATAGCACCTACCCTGCAATTAAGTTGGTTCAGGGTTAGTTTTTTTTATCCGTTTTGTTAGTTATGTAACAGACAGTCCTATTCGAATGTAAAAGCCTTGACACTTATTTCTCTCTCTAACTTAAATGTTTCCCGCTCAAATATAGCTCGATGTATCACTCGAATTCCGGTATATATATATATATATATATATATATATATATATATATATATATATATATCGATGAGTGACGTCTAAGGAGTTATTTCGAAGTCAAACCACTACAGCAGAACAAGGCTTCGATGTTATCGGGCTGGAATGGCATGAGTTGAAATGTGGGAGTTGAAAGATTCTGAATCTTAAATAGCTTAGCCGTCTGTTCCGTCATGATGAAGATAAAATATAGAAATATGTGAGAAAAGATATCCGAAAACATAAAAACAGCATTATAATATGTAAAAATAAAAGTTAAAAAGTGATATATAGTGTTACAACAAGGAACAGACTCGCACTTTACTGTTTGGTGCGCTAGACCACGTCGGTGTCACTACTAAAGATCCCACAGGTATTCAGAGTTTAACAATACCTCTATACGGAACACATTTATTCTCGCAGTATACCAACAAAGTCAAATCAGAAGTCAGAAATGAGGGGGTTCGAAGACATATTTCAAAAGTTATCGGTATGTCGAGGAGCGTTCGGTTTAAGCTGGCTGATAGTTGTAAGGGATGAGTAGCACGATGTATCCACTCGTTATCTGGTGTGGATGCGTGACCAAGAGTCTTCAGCTAAGTGTGCCCACTAAAATAGTGAGATAGCATCAAAGCCGAAGACTTACAGAATTATTTATTTTATGGATTTATTTACCGCTACAACTTTCTGAAAATGAAACTTGACTGATAATTTTGTCGACAATAAACTGAGACATCCTGGAATTTAATCGTGTTGTTTGTGTAATGTCTTCAAGATACATGACCAGGAGTTTTCATTAAGATACTGATCAAATAAATATTTCCAAGGATGTCTTGATGTATCAAAAGATTCAGCAAACGTAAATTTTTAGGTTTGTTGCTTTTCTTGTGCAAACTTTTTATTTCCAATATAAATCATATTTCTTAACATCAGGATTTATCGGTCAACAATCTAAATGCGTTTATTTATTTTGAACTAATTAAAATGGTATGTCAGTTTATTCACAAATAAGCACGTCTTCAAAAAAATTGTCGGTGATCCAATGTGTCAGTTTACTGGAATTAGTCTGTCCGATTGCTCCAGGAAAGTCATATCAATTAAATTTCTATAAAACGCGAATTTACGTGAATGTTTTTGACTTTTAAAGAGTAACTATGATATCTGATAATATCACATCTTTATGGGATTTAATATAGCCACGTTAAATTAACATAACAGTATTCATTTTGAAATATTGTTGCCAAGCGCACTAGCTCAACTCGATTGGTTAACGTGTGCTTAATTCAAATGTCTTATTTCCGAATTTTACCAATATTCCTGTCTGGTTCCCTTTATGTATTTTTCAATCATATCCCATAACTATATTGGCATATCAATACTTGGGACATGCTGGCAAATTGATCATGAGCACTTTGTATTCATTGCAATACAATGCAGATTAGACCAGTCTATTGTGGTCTTACATTTATTTCTCTAAAATACAATTGGTGAATATTTTATTGCTAGTGCCAATATAAATCCAAATCAATCACAGAGGTATAATTCTGGTGTTCATTCAATACGATTATTACTGCAGTCCAGTTGTATCCATTCAATCCAATTACACTTTATTCATTACCAATATATGCTATGGAATCCAATGACAGATATATATATTAAAGGACATTTGTATTCCAGTTCTTAATTAATTCATTTTCCTCGATTATCGATTATACGGATAACGAATATAGCAATCATTCACTTGTTCAAGATAGCTAAATGTGATAATTAGGAGTATTTGAATTATAGTACAGACTAAGAATCCCAGACATAACGCAATTGGATCAAGAAGTACTAGATAAGCATGAACGAATGTACTGTATTTGGAATTCAAAATCAAGCATTCAACAAGTACAAATGAATCATTAGTTCATACAAACACCACACTAAATCAGCTGCTAATTGCGAAAATATTATTTAGTAAATTTATGAGGCTATTGACTATTGAGATTAAAGAAAGCGTGTGAATGGTGAGTAAAATTATGATGTATTATTCAAGATTCTAATCACAATTTCTAGAAAACGTCAATCAAAACTACCAGGCTATTAATGTTATCACACAGAATCGATGAACAAGAACCAAAATTTATATATAGCCTTCTCAATGACACTCAAGAATCATAAGAGTAAAGTGAAGAATTATTCATTACACTATGATCATCTTGAATCTATTCATCTGTTAATTACATAAGTAACGCGAACATACTGTTCTAGTCAAACTGTTAGTATATAAGTATTTATTTCCTTACAACGTTTATTCAATCGGTTAGTGGGAATTATTTGGTTGGAATCTGAGAACACAGTTCAGCCCATTCCTTCTATCTAATATTTGTATTCATTGATTTAAGCTGTCATAACAAAACCATTACTTGAGATAGGAAATCTTAATCCTAGTACAAATAAGCCAAGAAAACTTAAAAGTATTTTTGACTATCGTGCATTCATTTAAATACAAGAATGCTTTGTGGATGTTTTTCTCACCCAAAATTATGGCCCTGAGAATTTATGTTCAATATAGCATGCTCGATATAATTGACTTCGGATCGCCCATCGCCAGGAAGTATATTATTTTGTCCAAAGATTAGATATGTTAATCTGTCAATTATTTATTCTTGAGAAAATCTCCACCGATATAGAGACGTATGACCTGTATGTATTTACATCTTTGAATTACTCTTATGTTAGGTAAACACCACATCAGTCATAATTTCTGTTTGAGATTCCTATCATGTTATACTTGGTGAAAATAGCAAGGCTCTAAACGCAGTGACAGTGAAAACTGACTTTTTCAATCAGTTATCTTTGTTGTGTTATTCTTCTTGAGAATCCATCATTCCGATCCATATAAACCAGTTCTGATGTAGGAGTGTTTCTTTAAACAAATGTCTATTGTGATTAAGGTTATACAGCTTTTTGGCATAAAATACCTCAGACAATAGGATTCAATATATCAGTTCAATTGACAAATCATTAGGCCGTATTTACGTAGGCAATTGTTGAGACCATAACGCAACTTTGAAGATGGTTACATCATTTTAGTAGTGACCGTACTAGGCTTTCATGTTTGTACGATATTGATATTATCAATGCCATTCTCAATCATTTATTTATTCAAGTTCATTACTTGTTTCGTATTGTATTGTTTGGTGCTAAGATGTTAAAGACACAATCGGAAGTACGGCCAAGGCTAATGCTAACATTACGATAATAGAACGTCATCTAACTCAATGCTTCAATTTACTTGAGACACCATTATGATAATAGCACATCTCTACCACACTTGCCAGCGGATTTCACGTTAATTTGCAGGCCGTTTTGTTACCTAAACTGTTAATTCTGAAGAAACACAATTAGTTTTCGGAGACTACATTATATCTAGTCAACAATCTGAACAATAGAATCACATCAACGGTGAAACAAACTTGAATAATACCAACATAATTAACTCCATTGAAACAAGAAAAAATACAACCAAGCTCCTTTCATTTAGTTAGATAAAAAAGTATTCCAAACTGGTTAATCCTAGTTCAATTTCTATATTTAGCAACATGGTTGATAACTTTTCCAGTTCGTACATTTCATAATAAAATCGACTAGTAACAATTTTCCCCTCCAGAATGCACAAAAAATATTAGTATATCAAATGACCAGAAGAAATTAATTCTTAATCAAGACAAAAATGAAAAATCTAACTGGTTATGTACATTTACAAAGAGAAAACGTCACATCCATTTAGTCAAAAGAACTTGAAAAAGTGAATAAACACTAGTTATTAGAAGTTCCTGTGAATTTATTAACTAGAAAAAAAAATTATTTTACGCTTCGGAAAATGAGGTATGATGGAAAAGTACATTCTTGTAGATGATACAGCATTGATTTAGAAGTGACGCATGGCAAAACAGGCATCAATGCAAGATATATCAACTGAATTCTCGAATTCCGTCAGTAATTCATGAGCATTTATACGTTCTGGTGCACCGATCATAGCCTAATTGCAAGTACGAAAAATAGTCTTTATTTATTCATATTTGAAAGGTAAAACAACGCATTACATTAAAATCTGAATAACCTTTTTAGGATATGCGATATGGAAAACGAAATAGCATCTAAAAAAACGTTTCATCTGTGTTCTCACAGGAACAAATAAAAGAAAGTTCTATCAAGGTTCATAGTACCTTACTGAGAAAAAGATTACAACATCAAAAGATGTAAAAGAGTAGCCATGGAGATACAAAATTCCTGAACATACAGTATACCTAAAGTTGCACTGACAAAATTATTGACATTTAATTACACAAAACAGTACGACTGTACCAGATATTCAACCCTATGTGAAACATGTAGTTAGATAAATTATCGGAGTAAGCATTGTGAATTTTGTTGTATTGTCCAAGCGGTTAGGATTAAATACATAAGCTTTTCGAATACTCATAACTGAACATCATCAAGAAAATCATGGGATTAAATGGACACAAAATGGGAAATTACTAAACATCTGACTAATTTTTCTCAATAAGTGATACCCTAATAGAGGGTTTAGTTTCAATACCGTAAGGAAAATTCCAAAGAAGAAAACTACCCAGTGCAAAAGATTAACACCCTAAATTATATTTGCAAACTTAGAATATCCTAATCTGAAAAACAACAATCTATTTTGATAAAATTTCATCCTGCGGTAATTTGATCCAAAAAGTAATGCTTAAGTAGACATTTGCATACTAGAATTGATCTACAAGTGAAATGTTTCAAGACCAGCTTAATACGTGGTCACGATTAAGCACGAACTTTTTGATGGACAGCCTACATATTGAGTGAGATAAACAACACACAATAGGTCACTATTTACAAAATTAACAATAAACCCCATGATCAGCATACAACCAGGCAAACCAATTGAACAAGTGAAATTAATGGCCGTTTGCAAGTTCAATCTAAGTGAAGAACTGGATAAAATCTTTCATCTCCAATATGAGTATATTGCTTGACAAAAAGCAGATAATTTTGAGCTAAAAGCTGGCTATTATTAAGACTGACTCGCTGTAACCTACTCAATACAGATAAGGATTCCAGAAATCACGCTAGCAGATGTTAATCTTAATAGCAAATCCAGTCGTGTCACTTCTTACGTGAATCGTTTGCAGAAACTCACTCGTACATTACCATAAAAATAATACCTAGTTCTATTAATGTGTGGTTTATCTCCGCATATAAACGATGGTCATTATTTCCTTTCCCATAATAAAGTATGTTCAATAATGGGAATAAACAAATTTATCCGCGTCGCGATTGATGATTCTACAACTCTTCACTTTAAATTAATATTGTGTACAAGGTAAACTATGACTAGACAATATACGAACAGCTATTAAAACATGACCCAAGTAGTGTCTCCCAAACTACCACATACTAACCTTACGCTTTGCAATGTCATCACGCTTTCGAGCTTCGACAAGAAGGCGCTTCTCCTCCTCAATACGGCGCAATTCCTGTTCTTTCCTCCTTTCAGCTTCTAAAGCAAGTTCTTCTTCCTGACGTCGTCTGTCAGCCTCCTCGCGTTCACGAATAGCCTTCTCTTCAGCCGCGCGAGAACTCCATTGAGATTGTCTGCGAGCTTCGCGCATTATTTGAAGAGCCGCGGCCTGTTTTTTCTTTTTCCTCGTTTCTACCGGGCTGAGAGTTAGGTAGCAAAATGTCGTTTGCTTCAACAGGATCGGGTAATACATTAACCAATCTAGCAGCCACAACTGTTGAAGAAACCTCAGAAGCTGATGTAGCTGTACAGCTACTTGTAAGAAGGGGTTTGCCTAACGTACCATCTTCAGAAGATGGCTTTTTGGAAAACCCTGAAATGGCCCACACGGGTTGAGGTAGCTGGTGAGGGGAGTTTGGTTCAGATTCCGTATCTGAAGATTCATTTTGTTCAGTCTTTGGTTCAATACATTTTTCATAAACAACATCATTATTACAATGACCACTTGCAACAGAGTCAAGTGCAGAAAATGTCGGTGGTTGATTGATCGATGTCTTATTTGTCACAGCACCTGAGTTCGGGGATAAAAAAACAGTCGATTTCGAACTCTGTGGGCCAGTTGAAGATACCTGGTCATGCGACTGTTTGTGGTCTGAAGCTGCTTCTGAAATTATAGCAAGAACACCAGGAAGGCAGGCCTTAAGATATAATTAAATCAACCTAAACTACCACCCAATGTGCTAACATCAAGAAGACTCTCACTTTAGTAGCAGATAATTTATCAAATGAAAATTACATGCTAAGTACTGTACAAAAATGCATTCAATGATCTTTTTATACACAGGACCACAAACAATTAAAGAGAATTAGGTACAAATTTCTCATGAAAACAACGCCATGTGTTGGAGACATAGTGGTGTATAAGAAGAAACCAAGAATTGATGTACAAAGAATAGGAAAGCCACTGAGGCAAAAAAATCAAGTACTGAATTATTTGGTGCTTGATTGGAATCTTACGACTTCAGCTTGTAAAAAAGTGAAATTCTTGACTTGATGTTAGCACAGTGGCTGGCAGTAAAAAGGTGTGTGTAAGTTAAAAAAAGAATGATATACGTTGAGTAAATAAGGATTTAAAGAAATTACAAAATGAAACCATACTGTGGTAAAGTTGTTTAGAAAAAGAAAGAATACTGGATGACAATAAAGAATGCAGCATTCAATTACTGGGAATAAGTTGCAAATGTAGCAATTCATCAGGACTCACTATAAGATTTAGAATCTGAAGAATCAGATTCACTTGAGTCTGAAGTACTCTCGGAATCACTTGAACTGGATGATGATGCGCTCAAACGATTAGTACCATCTGAAAAACAATGAAGTGATATCGATTAGAACACAATAAAGTATAAAACAAACGATTAAAATACTTAGTTGATGTATAGAAAAATAGAAGAGATGAGCAATTTGCTACGTTATATCAAAAAAACCGAGTACAAACTAGTGAAGTCAACATACAAGGACTTTGAAAAAAAAAACGAAACAACTGTCTCATTTACAGCATAGGAAGCTGAAGTAGATATGAAGATTGGTCGAAAATCAACTAATTTAACCTCTAAGTCATTACCGGATTTTTCTGTAACAAAAGCATGGTTATCATTCCTAAACAACATTATAATAAGTCACTAAAAAAATCACTTCAAGCATAAGCAAAGATAGCTATTTGTCAATATATATTCATTCATACATCATACCGAGGGTCTTTGGAAGATATTATGCAAATCTGTGTTTAATGGCTACGACGTTTGAGAAGATAATAAAGACTGAAAACAATACAAGGTCGGAAATACTAATTCATTAAAATGAATCTGACAGCAAAATAAGGAGCAGAATATATCCTCAGTGAAAGTAACTGTTTGAACGTAAAAAATACTGATTTCTAAAACAGTTAAGCTATTTAACAAACGTGTCTATGGTAAACCAGTAAACAGTGTATATGGCAGTATATAACGGTTATCACGTAACATATATGAAGTTAATTCTTTAAACCTTATAAGATGACAGTAGGAAAATTTGTGAGTACATTTGCAAACACCAAACTAATAGTTCCATTGGACACAAGGAATATAAAATCATCTAGATTTTACCGTATTGATGATTAGTGAATAATTACTCACGAGCATCAACAAGCTAAAACTGTAATAAGTTTCGGTTCAAGATGACAGTAGTAACAGAGAAAGATTGGAAAACTAAGAGATTGATTTAAAAAGCTGAAAATGATAAGGATCAATGGTAATTGTGGTGATAGTGGACTTACGTGACTTTTTCGGATTATGTGCATTATGGTATCCAGGAGCACCTTGAGGAAGTCCTCCAATCTCTCTCAATCGATTTTCCAGCTCTTCCGTTTTTTCTTTCATGCACTCTTCACGAGTCTTGCCTGGTGGGACGTTACTTAACCCCTTCTTCACGTATTTCCGGCTCCCGGATTTTGTCTTTTGCAGAACAGATTTTACATACTTCTCTAATTCACGCAAAGTTGTGTGTTGCAGCGTTTCGAAATCAATTTCGATTTCGTCTGGATTACAATCACGGTGCGACGGTTCACGTTGCTGGATGATTTGGACAACTCTACCTAATTTTTCACCGGGAAGCTTATTAATATCTAAACTTAATTGACGTTTCTCATCGTAAGTCATTGGACGAACATTGTTTTCGGACATCTCCTCATCTGTAGCATATCCAGGAACAGGTATAGGTTGGGAATGTGTGGAACTCATGTTTGCTGTGCTACTACTAACTGGAACACATGGTGTATTTAGAACGGGTGCTGCAGCAGATAGTCCTGTGTAAATAAAACGATGGAAGTTGAATACCCTATCTTGAAATGCATAACATACGAGTGAATGCAAGAACTTTAACGTACATAGCAACATAGAACATGTGGTAGTTGTGACAATAAGTTATTTTCTAGTTGACATTTAATTACTTTGTTAGACAATGATCACAGTTGTGATTATGAGTATTTATACATTCAATTGAATTAGTAAACAGATGGGTTGAGATGAAGTCACAGGTTTGGCTTGACCCAAATAATTTTGGCAACTTAACTAGTACTTCACTAGCCAACCGGAGCTTGTACAAGTTTCTGCGTGGGTGAGACATACATCTGGCGATCAAGGAGCAGATATACGGTGCAGCAGTTTGCTCTGTTTTAACATACAATTGGGAAGCGTTACCTTTAAGATCAGACGACATCGGAAAGTTACTGGCGCAAGATCATAGATGACCTCAAAGAAATGTTTTTTATGTCGGGGCTACAGAATGAACAATACCAAGATTAGAAGCAGAGTACTAAGCTATTCCGCTGATGAGGCTGCCAATCTTCATTAACTAAGTGGTAGTCAGAACATCTATCAAGTATGACAAACCAACCACGACCTTTACCCCTGGTGTTGGCTGGGGCAATATTAGATGGGAAGAAAACCAGGTATGTCCAAACTAAAACAAGGGATCATTCCAAACTACCATGTCACAGTCCGTGTGATTACCGTGACTAATCGTTAAAAACTTTGGATGACATGATTCGGAATCCTTAGCGGTACCGAAAATGAATTTACTTATACTTTTCCTTTGTATCCTGAGTTTCAAAATTAATTTTATTTCTTTTATTCCGCGAATTTATTCGTTTCTTGTTAAGTCATTATCTTTGCCAAACCCATTTTACTATAACAGATACTGCTAATAATTCTACTATATTAATAATTTGATAATTTCATATTGCTGCGCTGGTGTGATGAAGCAACGTGGACCGATGTACAATCATCCTAGTTTCTAACTGAAATTAACATCTACTAGACGAAAAAGAAACTGAACAGATGATTTGATGGGTTATGCTAAACACCCTTTGTAGCACTAAATACCTAAATCCAACACCAAAACTTTACATTCAGCTGTTAGTTGATTTTACAATCACTCAGTAATATTGGTAAAACTATGATCTTATTTTATCTTCCCTCAAGGTCCATTCAGAATACCAGACCATTATTGAGTGCCCAACCAGTAATCAAAGTGATTTTAGTGGGCAAACTCTGGATAAACATTTTTCAAGTGACGAGTTAACGATCCACTTTTCTAGATTGAAATCCAACTCTTTCAGCAATTACATGGCATAAATTAGACTAGGTGTGAGCTAAACGATCGTTGTGAGCCCAAAGAAATGAAAATTGAATGTTCTCAACTCCTGACCGTTTTTGTTGGTTATATCTTCAGCAAGCCATTGGAAGTTATCTTAACATCATTTAACTAGAAGTAATGTGGACATGATTAAACAAATTTCACTGATGGTGGGTACGTTTTTTGTCCATTAATTTTTGATAGAACGTCAAGTGACGTGATATGGCGATTTATTTAGTAGGTATTCCAACATGGTATAGCAAGTACATCTTTGTATTTAACAATTCAGTAGTCGAAATTGATATAATTGATATTATGACCGTCCAGATGGTAAAAGCTTAATTTGAGAAGTAAAATGTACTTCTAATAAAAAAACAAGAAGTCTAAAAGTTGATATTGTTGTTTGTTTTCCTTTGGGTCATAAAGGTGATTTATTAAATCCCCTAAACTTGTCTCACCAACTAAGGAATAAAGCGATATTTCTTACTACAATAACCCCCTTGATAATCGTAAACTTTTCTTGTTGTTTATTTGTTGGAAATGATAGGCCCTTAGAAATCACTTGGCAAACGTCTCATCTTTGTAATTTTAATTTGTGTTGACACAAAAATCCGAATTAGAGGCACTATTATACTGCAAATGAATGAAGATAATTTATTCGAAATTAAAATAAGTTAAAAACCGATAAGTTGATAGTTTAGTTCCTTCTGGATTTTAATGCAAGGATACTGCATACACAAGCGATGACCGTTTTATTGAGTACTACAGATGATTCTTTTTAGTTATCTTCACTTCTTTATTACAGTGACACATTTCTTCAAGTAATATCAAAATTTGAACTATATGTAAGAACATTAATCAATGATTTCGATCCATGTAACAAAGTCGACTTCATAATTAAAAACAATCTAAAATATGTCATTGATGATGCCTAATTTGATGAGAAATGATGAGTTGTTGCACTTATGGTAAACAATATGTCATATTAAAGTCCAAGACAACGGTCCATTTTTGAATAATTATGGCCAAACAGGAATTTCGAGGAAAATATCTTAACTATCGAATCGGAACAATTTCCTTCCCAAATTACTAATGCTTAAGTAGGTATGAATGGTTAAACGTAGGAGGCTAGGTAAAGATGGGAAATCAATTGAATCTTTATCGACTGAGATAGTTAGAACAGATATTACGTATACCCATCGACGGACTACCTCGACGTGCAATAGTGGCTAATGAAGTAGGTTGCAAACTAGGGTTGAACAAACCAAGACATCGCATCAGTCCATGAAGATATTGACTGTTTTACTGAGCCATGTAGATAGGCGAAGAATAACTGGTTGGGGTCAGAGTGATTATCATAACCTGTGGTTAGAGACTTTGAATAAAACGGCTTAGAATTATTTGCAACGGTGCAGGTGCATTCATACTGTCTCCTCCTAAACCCTAAGTTTCTAGATTATTTTTTAAAATTCTTTCTATTTCATTAATCCAAACTTTTTTCTCGAATCACATCTTTTGAGTTAGGGCACACAACCACTTCTCTCCAATGTTTCATTCAAGCAATAGGTTACACAGGGTTGCCCAATCTCACCATTCCTCGTCACCTTTGCTATTTATTTAATTTGAACACATAAATATTTGGTACAAAGGGGGCACCGTATATATATATATATATATATATATATATAATATATATATATATATATATATATGCACCACACAATAATAATGAGAATGTGAAGATATAAAGAATGTAAGGTGCGTATAAGAAAAAAGAAGTACAACAATGAACAGAAATCAGTGTATCGTAGTGAAATAATAATAAGTGGAGGGCCAGTTCAAATAGCAAAAGTACAGCCACGGAGAATTCTTCCACTTACAAAGGTTACGTCTTTTTTTACAAATGCCCCGGTACGGCCGAGTGTGGAGAGTCAGCTCTTCCTCTCGAAATGTCCTCACATGGCCACGTGCATACAACCACTACCAGAGATGTTCTACTCAAGTTTATTAACATCTTTAAAGCCCGATCGACAACCACCTCTCTCCTCTGTCCCATTCGAGCAGTGGGGTTAGACAGAGTTGCCCAATCTCACCATTCCCCTTCAACTTTGCCATCTATGACATTCTGGAAACAGCTCTGATGGATGCAAGTAATGGCGGTATGGATCCGTTGCTGGAGAAAGACTTCTCGACCTTGAGTATACGGATGATATTGTCTTACCGTGTGATGAAACCCAGGCCATGCAATCCACACTTAATCAGTTGGCAATCAATGTCCGTAGGTACGGTATGTGCTTTGCACCTTCGAAGTGCAAAGTACTTTTACAAGGCTGGCAGGACCTTGATCCTGTATTCACCCTGGGTAATGAGCAGATAGAAGTAGTCGAGAGGTTCGTATATCCGGATATCTGCATAAGTGCCAGTAGTGACGTGTGTAATCGGATCAATTCGCATATAGTGAAAGCCAAAGAGGCTTATGCCAATCTGGGTCATCTTTGGCGCCTTCGTGATGTCAGTCTGGCTGTGTAAGGTCGAATCTACAACGCGTCGGTGAGAGCAGTTTTGCTCTATGCTTGTGAAACCTGGTCTCTCCGAGTTGAGGATGTTAGACAACTCTCTGTGTTTGATCATCGTTGTCTCTGAAGGATTGCTGACATTCAGTGGCAACACCATGTTAGTAATGCAGAGGTTCGGCATCATGTGTTCGGCGCAGAGACGATAATGCAATTGGTGTCACGATCTTGAAACACCGACTTCGGTGGCTTGGACATGTTCTACGAATGTCGTCCCAGAGAATTCCACGTCGTGCATTATTTACCGACTCTGGGACTGGTTGGAAAAAGCGGAGAGGTGGTCAGTATATGACATGGTGTCGTAGTATGAAATAAAGCTGCAAAGGGCTGGCTTGTGTTGGACCTTTACGACTCCCTGGCTGAAGTCCGAGAGATGGTGCTACACAGTGGCTAGAAAGGTTATCAGATATTGCTCAGAATAGAAGTCAGTGACAATCCTGCTGTAACTTTCATTTACTTTCTTCAGAAAAATGGGCGTAATTTTATTAACTAGAAGAATCCTTTCTGGTTGTACCTTTGCTTTACGAACTGCTTCTCCCGTTATTATTATTTCACTATCATACACTGATTTCTGTTCGTTATTGTTCGCCTTTTTCTTATACGCACCTTACATTTTCTATCTCTTCACATTCCCATTGTTATTGTGTGGCACATATATATGTGGTGCCCGCTTGTACCAATGTTTATGTGTTCAAATAGATAAATAATTTGAGCCTAATCTTTTTTATTAATACTGATACTGTTAATACCTCCACTACTGTGGTATTTGGTTTAACAATAGCTGTGCTAATTGAGTGTAGTAGCTTGAATGGATGCACACATGTGCGAAGTTCGACTTTGCACACGACTGACTGAGTAGAAACCGAATAACAATGCTATTTAACTCACTCCCAGTCCGAAGAAATTAAGGTCAATTCGGAACTGCAACTTTTCGATTGATACTGTCAAAAAACTCCCCTAAACTTACTGTAAAAAGCGATTTACTATAATATTCTGTCTCAGAACAAAACATGATATAAAAACCAGACTGGTCGCAATGAATAATTGTATGTAATGACGAGAAAATGAGGCAGTTTATAGTTAGTTTAACAGTTAGGACCACTAACAGCTTTATAAAACAATGTTTAGAATGTAAATGTGAGCCACATAGTAATGTCATTAGCTCAGTCACCCGGTATTTGGGTATGAGCCATACTCTAAGCTTGAGGAATAATTATACAACCCGGTTGCCCAAACTGAAGTAAATGGAGAGGGATTCGAACATGGGACATGGTAGCCAAAAGTCAGACGTCTCAACTATTAAGGAGTCGCTCTAAAATTACTCTATTACCTAAACTGATAGTGAAGCAAGATTCGAAAATAAGGAGACCACGATCACTTAAAGGCAAAAGATACAACAAAGTTATGAAACTAAAAGGCTAAGTTTACCATAAAAAACAAAGATGTAACTGACCTGATTGTCTGTATTTTGTTTTCGGCTGAGATTGTCTGCCTCTCCTGAAAATAAAATAAAAGTTAGTCGAATATAAAGACCTACTTAGTGATATTTACATCTTCTATATCATTCATAGTAGGACGTGGAACGGTCGGAAGGCCAGTTTGAGTAGGGGTAATGAATTAATATGGGGTGTGTTGTGAACAATAGGTGCTGGGAAAATAGATAGTAAAAAACAGACCTACCTTTTCTGACAGCCATACTTAAGGATGATAAAATAGAATTTAAGTTAGCTGTGCTTTTCTGCAAATCCTCGCTGAAACGCTGAAACTGATTGGTTAACTTCTGATGCTCTTTGATGGCGTTTTGAATTAGCTGATACATATTCTGATCAACAGGACGACCATCAGGGGAGGCAGCAGGATCTGACTCATCATCCGGAACTTTGGCGAAATTTTCATCAAAAATAGCTTGAAGTTGTTTCCCTACTCTAGCAACTTCGCTATCTTCACCGTTATACTTATAACAATTATTAAACATCAGTCGAACATCGTCTGCGAAATCGTATTTGGTATGGTACTGACCACTTTCTAATTTTGTTTTTATGGTGCTGAGATCCATTGCTTTTTGGACAACATCGTAGTAATCATGAAGCCCGAGGGCTACGACATCCACTGGTTTTAAGAAAAAATGATTGAGATCCTATAAATAATAGCTCAAAATGCTACAAACGCATACCCGATATCTCTGAGAGGAAATATCCTTCAGAATATTACTGCAAGCTTTCAGTGCTTCGGAAAGTCGCAAACGTTTGCCAACATTACGTTCTTCATATTCACGCTTGGGCTTTTTGATTTGACGGCGGTCGCGAGATAAATCATCATATGATTGGGGAGTCGACGGTAATTCGTCTATCGTAGAATCACTTTTCTTTTTACTAGCCTTTTTGGTAGATGTAGAAGTTACTGATGGTCTGAAAGGTAATGTAGCCTGGTCGACAGAAACAGCTGAGCCATTTAACCCTTCAGTATGGTTGGTTGAAGCAGCTGAATGAATTGGTTCGATAGGATGGACCTGCAAAGGAGCGCCAATAGGACGGATAGACTTTGGGGTTTTTTGTGGACAAATTTCGGTCTCAGGAGTCGGCATAAATTTAAGGCGTTCTCTAGCAATCTGCTCAAGCTTCATTGCCATTGCAACTACATCATCACCTGGCTTGTTGAATATATAACAATTTCGGAACATAGTGAAAAGATCATCGAGACATTCTGAAGAGGAGTGATAAAATTTTAAATTTAGCCGCTGTTTTATCGTCCCAAGGTCCATTGGGTGTTTTATTATTTTGGGATAGTCCTAGGAATTATGCATATCAGAGAAACAGACTTACTGGAAGGTTTAGCCGCTGGTGATCGACTGGTTTTGTAAACGGCCATACAATCTTTTCTTTAAATAGTCGTCCAACCACTTCTTTTTTAATATACTCCAGCTGGTTGGTAGTAATTTTTGAAGAATGAGACTTAGCAGCATGAGGTTCTGATTTAATGGAATTAGAAGAATCGAGATTCGCTTCAGAGCTCATTGCATTGGCGAGAATCTAAAAAAATTCAGATATGATATGTACAACTCTGAAGGGAAAATGAAATATTCTTAAGTATTGCTCCGTACTTCGCCATAGCAACCAAAAACTAATCATCTAACTCCCTAAGCTTCATGTTAATAATGACCAATTTACAAATACTGTTGATATGTATTTTAAAAAATAGGTCCATTGTGATCACGAAGGCATGTAGACCATCCAGACTTTATGGTAACTTAGTGTTACGATGTTTCGAACAATAAACCTTACTAATCTACGCATTTTTCTACAGGCGTATCCAAACACCAACCCATGTTTTATATGTGACATATATTACTTCATAAGCTGCATTTCTATTACAACTGCCATTATCAAATTACTGAAGTACTTCATGTAAAGAACGTAAACATTGTCTTGAAAGTTCGAAATCACACGGCTTTTGCACACAATGTGGTCGTTCGTAATCAATGGAAACTACACATAAATATGTTTAAAATAATCCGTCGTTTACTAGCTTGAGCTCGTGAAAAGAAAACCCGAGAAAACCAAACTGATTTACTTCTCTGTAGGACCTAGAACATAGGCATACTTTTTGATGTCCTTGACAGTGTTTAGCTCTGCTGATCGTGAGGTTCTCTAGTAGTGTCTGACACTGAAAGACGTACCAAAGTAAATTAACCTTGCACAGGCTCTCTGCTCGAACGGTAGTGATTGAGTAAGAGCTTATGGGGAACTTTTATAGAAATTATTTCAAGTGTTGTTCGTCAAGATTGTCCGCTCTCCCTATTTTTATGTCAGGGACATGCTTTTACAGGTAATACGTCCATCATTTGACTTCCTATGGGTTGATCTACTACCAAGGGATCCACTTGTTGACTTAGACTGCACAGAAGACATACTTCTGTTTGGCGAATACGCTGATAAAAATGCAGTCTTCTGATCACCTTAAGCAGCAATTCAAGCATTTTTGGGATGTGATCTCTCTTCAAATGCAAAATGTTACCTTAGTTATGGCCTGAGTCATCACCTGAATTAATGGTAGGGAGTGAAGTAGTTGAACTTATAGACCATTTCATTTATCTTGGAAGTCTCATCATTACTGACAGTCTAGTGTCTGACGAAATTTCAGCACAGGTTCAGAAGGCTCGACTGACTTTTCCCAACTTGCGTCACTTTTGGCGTAGGTGAGATATCTATCTTCCAACCAAAGAACGAATTCACTGAAAACCAGTTTGCTCCGTTCTACTTTACGGATGTGAAACGTGACCATTAAGAATAGAGGATACTCATAGGTTGTCAGTATTCGGTCAAAGGTGTCTTCGAAGTATTGCTCATGTATTTTGAAACTACGGAGTAAGCAATGCCTGGGTTAAGAGTGGGATACTTGTTAGAGATGGGAAATCGGTTGATGAATTAGTAAATTTTCATCAACTGAGGTGGTTGGACATGTTATGTATACTCGACCACCACCTAACTCGACGGGCGATGTTCTCTTGTGTAGGAGTAGGCTAGAATAAGGCTAGAAGCGGCATAACCAAACCATAAAGACATTGAGAATTGGACTGAGTCATGATAATAGGTGCAAAATCATAATTCGCTGAACTTACTGTTAGATCTAAGAAGTATAGAGGAGAACGTGAATTAAGAAGTAGTGGTTTAGATGTAAAAAAAATCTAGATACCGAAATTAGCGTCAATTTTACACAAGCGAATTTCTGCACAGATATCGACCTAAAGAGACTCGAATCAATGATGATTGAAGTAAATAAGATTGTCAATCTGACAAGTATCCAGCAGGTTACTTATCGTAAAGCCGATTTTCTCATCGATACTGAAACAGACCGAAATTGTAAGTCCAATAAATAAAATAAGCTTTGGTTTTTAAGTAATGGAGCATAGCCATGTTCATTTTATAATAACCCCAATTATAATTACCTTAGAAGATAACCCTACGCAGATTACTGGGTGGTTGCTCACTGTATTTAAGTTTAGCAATCAAATTACGACCCTGAAGACCACAATAAGTGATAATTCCGAACCAGCGGTCGAAAACGCGAATCGCTTAAACCACTAGGGGTACAGCACAATGGTTTTGTTATCTGGGCTGCAATAGAACGTATATTGACCACCGGTTAATAGAGCTGAAAACAAAAAACTTATGCACTATTAACACGCTTCCCAAGGGTGATGCTATCAAAACATAACTTCAGTCAAGTTACAGTCTTAGTTCATTTACTATTTTTATAAGGTCGGTAAATTTTATTTAACGAATTGTTAATTGATTTTAAACCCTTTACCAGTTTTATATTTAAACAGCTATCACTAAAAGAACGACTTGTGAATTCAAAAACCAGATGCTTTGTCTAATTTATTTTGACCTTTGCAGAAAGATCGGAGATTAGCCCACTTAAACGAGAATCTAAAATTTGCCTTAACAGTATACACATATACAACCAGGTAGCCAAAAACAAGCAATTTGACATTGGGTCCCAGGTCTTATTTTAAAAAGTGATACCTGTCTGTCAAGAAGTGAGAGTTTGAACACGTGGCCCAATGATCTTGGAGAGCTTTAAACACTCATTTGTTTATCGTTTCAATACTGTGTAGTGATTAGAATAAATGTGTGGTTATTTTAAGTATGGGATATTAAATTAGTCCAAACCAGTTGGCCAACTTGATACTTGGCTATCACTAATAGGAAACCTTTGAAGGTTAAGAACATAAGTTTATAGAACGTGATTGTAAACTGGTTAATGTGAGTGTTAACTTTTATTAAATGGATTGGTTTGAAAAATATCTTAGGCATCTTTGTCACAACCTATTCCGAATGGCAAAACTGCCCATCGCGTATGACCGGACTGGAGAAAGGCTAGGAGTAACCAGAGGAAACATCATTATGGAGTCGCTAAATATTGAACTGAATAGAGTATGGAGATAGAAATCTTACATGAGGTCAGCCTAATAATTGTAATATACAGTGGGCTCTAGAAGGCATAATTTAAAACCATTCACAATGGTGAAGATATAATGATTCACAATCGCTGAAGCTTGAGTATGTCAACACTATGTGCTTCATAAACTATTTTTCACAATCAGTAACGCATCGCTCTCAACGAAACCACTAATTTAACCATTGACTTTCTTAATTTCTTTTTTGCTTAGTGACAACCTGGACTGGCTCACATCTTTGTCAGGTTCTGGACGTTTATCACTGATTTCGTTAACGACTAACCAAATGATTACTTTCACTGGCAAGTGTGACTACTGTTGGACATCGTGGTTACAGAACAACGATAACTATGATGGTCTTTAAAATGCATAATCTATTACGTGCACAGCCTTTCACGACCGTTATTCACCTGTTACTTGTGTTACCTAATTTCCACCTACATTTCATCTAAATAGTAATCAAATAAGTACATTAAATACGATACAATAAAGTATGTACTTTGATGTATCAAGAATAATTGACTGATAAAAATTTAAAAGTACACGCAATTTCATCAGGAAGTGTAGAAAAACATTGGTTTCATTCTCAGTAATGAAAAGTAAGCTCACCTCAAATGTATTTGTAAGACAAAAGATCATGTTTTATACGCGCCTTACTAAAACTACCAAACCGTATGTACGCATCAGAAATGGAAATAGGAACCCCGATGCCAATGAATCCAATTTAGGTCACTAATGCTATTAACAGCAAGCAGACTGACACCAGGGAATTCGAATTAGGTTGGGCCAACTGTATACTTCAAATACAATCTATACAACAAATTTTAGGATTTTTTTTAAAATATAATAATTTTGTTCTTCTTGTGAACTCCCGTTTAATTATCTAACTACACTGGATTAACTCTAGAACTTGACTAACCAGGAGTAGCGACCTACGATAATTCAGTTTATTGGATTTTACTTCTCCAAGATAGCGATAACAACTGTTTTGCGAGTACCCAGTGGGATAAGGTTTTAAAGTGTTAAAACGCTTAAATCAAACAATCTTAAAATGGTTTTATGTGTATAAGCAAATTTCATACTTCCTACTCATAGTTTCTGTAAGTAATATTGGTCATTGTTTAGAAATGATGCTACTTTAATTATGACTAAATCCGCTATTAAAAACATACTTAAGTTACATTCAACCCATAAAGTATGAGCAAAGTATTATCTATTTGAAGATTTTACATCACCTGCTATAAATTTACGGTTCTTCTAACTAACCGAGAAGCCTCGCTGAATTACAGGTTTTCCGACGTTGCGACTCACTAACTCCCTGCTTCGGATTGGGCACCCAAGCAGTATCACAGCCCTCACACATATCAAATGAGATCTGTGTGGCACAAATGTATTTGAGGCCTCCTTGTACCAATATTTGTGTCAAAATACATAAATAATAAATAACTCACTAACTAACTACATCCGTACCAAGTCGAGGAACGAATCTTGTAGAAGTTAAAAGTAATATTTAGACGAACGAACACGACATAAGGGCAAACATAATACTGATAAAAACGGTCGGAAAACAAGCCATTACCTGATTTAGAAAGATTCATTGTAATGCATGAAAACACGAAATTACCCGCAATAATACAGTTATTTACTGAGAGTAACCACAAAGCAACTCAATATCCGTGAGACAAATCATATGCCACAAACTAACAAAAAAACACATCCGCAGCTTCCAAAACATGTAGTACATGTTAGCGTACATAAATACTGAAACCAAGTTGATTCTCTATACTTTAAATCATTATATCGCAGTACGTTAAGTCGATGGTAAACGAGCCGAAATAGTACTACAGATAATGAACTAAATTAGTGTACTTTGAAAGTAACTCTGAATGCTTCGTGACATTTAATTGTGTGAGATGTAGACATGAGAAGAGATGGACTACACTTTATCACGCATAGCGATTTTATCGAGACATTGGAAGAGCGTGCCACTACATGATCACTCGACATAGGCAGTAATTAACATCGAGCCTGGCAGACATGTGTTCCAAGTTCCTATAACATGTTAGCCCAGGATGACATTTAAAGGTCGAGTAAAGAAAGACAAGAATATTACAGTAGTGACGGAGAGGAATGAGCATGGAAGGTGTGGTCCAAGACGGGTGAAGAGGCAACTATGAGGGAATGCGGAGATCTAAGAGGGCAAAAAGGTGAGTGGGTCTGTACCGTTGGGTTTTTACTACACAAGTAGTGCCGCTGGTCTCAGTGGTTGGTGCGATTCAGGTACGAAATTTGACCATAATCAATCAACTGAATAAACCACACTATTTATATTCTGCAACCCGAAAACATCAGCCTAGACACTTGGTTCCCAGTACGGTACCTCAGGAATCACTCACTGAGCTTTTTACTTTGGTTATCATTAGTCACACAACTAAATGCCAGAAAAAATTACATGACGAACAAGTATAACTTGTAAGATGGTCAAAGACATCCAACTGTTAAAACGCACAGAGTATCAGCAATGTGTCCTATGTAGCCCCACTAGAAATATTCAATAAGATACAAACTGACAAATACTTTTTGTTGTGTTGTACAAGCAAACACAAAAATTGGGAGCTTATGGTAGAGTACTTAACATGTGATCCGAACATCCTACAATGAACATACCTTGAGTCAAAGACATACTCATTATAACTCTAGGCCTCTTCTAGGAACAGCATACAACACGACTTACAGCGAGTTTAGCAATGATTCAAATCTGAAGACGGCGTCAGGGAACAGTTAGAAACCCGTCAGTCCGTTGACAGTTAAGTCTGGGGAAAAGTAGCAAACTATAACTGCTTTAAGTGGTAGAAAATTCATAAACGAACAGAACACAAAATCAAACAAGTGAATCTTCTACACTTACCTACCTAAAAACTAGAAACATAATCCACACAAAAGCCAACAATGGCGAAACGAAAGTAAACCGACCGGACTTAAATCAGGTGGCTAAAACAAAAGAAAAACACAATATTTAAACTGCATCACTATCATTTGAAACTATTTACATCGACGTTTTACTATTTCACAAATTACTCTTGCTAGTTGGTTTTGAAGACTTACAGAAGCTTGGATGTAGAATGAATTTGATAGCGTGGTCATAGAAGCTTAGCGGTAACAACAGGTTTTAAAGTTGAATTTTAGTACGAAAATGTGTCAAAACGTACTCGCTACATCTTGCACAGCTTTATATACATACACACGAAAAATAACTTGCCTATCTCAAGCTTAATTTTTGAAAGTTCACAGGTCTTTCAGGAGCAGTTCAAAAAATATTATACATACGATTCCTCAGACACTGAGTTTTAGTAAAGAGAACAATTATGGTTGTCGTGATTTTCTTTGCCTCACCTTATCATAAATCACGCGGTGACTAAATTATGTTTGCTCCCATCTTATTGGGAATGCTATTACTGGTTTTATGGTACTGAAGACTCATTGATTAACGATTCCTTTCACTGTTAAGTATGCCAATTTGTGCTGTAGCAAACTTTGAACGCATAGCACAAAAATTACAGTTTGAAGTATTTGTGTGCTTTTGGCACAGTTTATTTTCTTCGGTAAGTTAAAAACGATCATTAATCTTCATCAACAATTTCAAAAGACACTGTAGAGTCATATAGCAGTTCAGAGTTAGATGGAACACATAATCTTTTCGAGACAACGGTTTCTAATCAATCAGTTTGTCAGAATTCTCATGTTGTTGTACCAGATATGGC